GAGGCACCTCCTTTGAGTGCCTGTCCTCTTCTATGTCCTTGTCTGATTCTATAGATATTCAGGTCTATGCCCAGTTCCCTGTGTTTCATTTTCCAGTCAAGAGTAATGGCTTAGATGAGTAGCTTATCAAAACACAGATTACTCAGCCTCACTCCAGACTCTGAATCAGAATATCTAGCTCCAAAGATAATTCTGATGCTTATCTTGTGTTTGACAACTACTGGAACAGAAAGCACAAGGACTTTTGAATAAAAGAAACAGTAGTGGGCTAGTAAATGTCTAACGAGCTTTAACAATCATCTCTTGGAAGGAGAAAAAAAAACCCCAACAAACCCTGGGTTGTAGATTTTGCCACTTTCCCTGGTGTAAATATTCCCGGCAATATCAAACTACAAAGTCACTGAGCAGTGGGAGAGATGCTGACAGTGGCTGATACAAGCCAGCTAGAGGCAGGTCCAGCACACCGTTGAAGCAGACCTGAGTACAGTCCAGCCTGGACGACTGCCTAAGCCACCTCACTCCTTGACCCTGTTTCCTCCTCTGTAAAATGACAATACTGTTATATGCCCACTGTCTAGGGGCTGTGAAGGTTAATATACTCCAAGTGCAGAGCTGAGCACGGCATCTACCTCTAATCCCCATGGCATAGACACCCTCTACACCACTTAGGGGCCCTGGTGGTACATTGGTTAAAGTGTTGGCATTCTAACTGGAAGTCTGGTGGTTCCAAACCACCAGCAGCGTTACAGGAAAAAGATGTGACAATCTGTGTCCCTAAGGATTTACAACCTTGGAAACCCTATTGTTGTTAAGTGCCATTGAATCTGTTCCGACTCATAGCGACCTTTTATAGGGTTTCTGAGGAGTGGCTGGTGAGCGAGCTTGGACCGCCAACTTTGCAGTTCAACCTGACCTTGCAGTCCAGCGCATTAACCCTCAGTGCCACATCAGGACTCTATGGGGCAGTCCTTACAGGATCACTATGAGTCTGAATCGACTTGATAACAATGAGTTTGATCTTAGGGCTTTCTTTAGTCTACTAATGGGGCCTCCACATCTGATGAAGACCCTGATTGCTGCTTGTACCCAGCCCCTTGATGGTCCCAAATCCTTAGACTTGGGACCGCTTTTGGTTGGGCACGGTTGGGACTAAATTTTCTTGGCCAGGCTCAAGTGTTCTCCAAGCTTCTCCCTTACTCCCCAAACTTTCAAAAAGGACACCAACAAATTGCAGTCCAGAAGCAGGCCATGGTGGCATATAGAAGGGATAAGCGGAGGTAGGCATCGATTGGGAAACATCTAAGAATACAGAGGAGGGAAAGAAATGCTCTGCGGGGCCCAGGTTTAATCACTCACCAGCTTTCCATGATGCATTTGAGTTATAATGTTGAAGAAGACTATTTAAGATACCAGAAGAACAAACAAATCTGTTGGAAGAAGTGCAACCAGAATGCTCCTTTGAAGCCAAGATGGTCAGACTTCATCTCGCATCCTTCAGACATATTATCAGGGAAGAGTCCCTGGAGAAGGACATCATGCTGGGTTAAGTGGAAGGTCAGCAAAAAAGAGGAAGACCTCCCAATGAGATGAAGTGATACAGTGGTTGCAGCAACGGGCTCAAGTGTAGCAGCAACTGTGAGGATAGTGCAGGACCAGGTGATGCGTCACTCTGTTGTACATGGGATCACGATGGGTCAGAACTGACTCGACAGCATCTAACAACAATAACAAACTTTCCATGGGTTATCATCCATGTATTAAGCCCTGCCTTGGCGTTGGATGTTACTTCTGATGGCCGCAGCTATGGAGACAAGTCCAATGTTTCCTCAGCCACTCTCCCTCCCAGCACGGAATGGGACGACTCGAAGCAAGGGGCCCAGGAGAGGGTGGGGTGGGGACCAGGGTGGACGACAGCTTGGTGAAGGAGAAAGGATCAAAGAAAAGGCACTCGATGACTCAGTTCCTCCATTAGATGGTCAGAGTATAATTTTCAAGAAGTCAACACCATAGCTCTCATGCAAATATAGAATGGCCACATGTCAAAGATTTATTCAACTCATTAAAGAGGGAACCAGCAAAGCTGATTAAAAGAGCGCTTAAGGAACTGAATGTTCATAGGAATTTGGGGAGGAGGGAGAAACACACAACGGAATAAGATTGTTATGTTAGATACAAAAGGAAATATCAGAGCAATAAAACTACACTTTTAGGATAATTTTTCCTACTGGACAGAAACCTGCGCGTTAACTCAAAATCCTGGCCTTCAGCCAGTAGCTGACAGTGAAGTCCAGCCTAGGTCCACTCTCCCAGAAAATGACACTAATCCTAGGGCACGCTTGTTAATCAATGTTTCAATCCAACATTGAATGGATATATTGCGCTCCCATTGCCTGATTTACAAAGTTTTGAGGTAATTTTGCTTAATAGGACAGAGCTCGGGTTTGCTTTTATTACCATGACGCTGTAGGATCAACACTGAACTTTGAACCACACGTTCAGCAGTTCAAATCCGCCAACTGCTCCTTATACAGTGTTGCTATGAGTCAGAACCGACTCGATGGCACTTAACAATAACAACAACACCTCCTCTGTGTTGACTTTGTATGATAAACAGTGGGTTGCAATCCATAAGATTGGTGGCTCAAGCTCATTAGAGAAAGATGAGGCTTTCTGCTCCCACAAAGATTTACCACCTCAGAAACCCTATACAGGGTCACTATGAGTCAGCTAAACTTCATTTCTCATACTTCGGACATATTGTCAGGGGGGGGAATCAATAGCTGGAAAAGGAGATCATGTTTGGTAAGGTGGACGGTCAGAGAAAAAGAGGAAGACCCCAGTGAGATGGGTTGGCAAAGTGGCAACGTCATTGGGCTCAAGTGTGGCAACAGTTGTGAGGTTGGCCCAGGACCAGGCAGTGTTTCGTTTTGCTGTGCATAAGGTCACTATGAGTCGGTATCAACTCGATGACACCTAAAACCAATAACAACAACATGAGTCGGAACTGATGGTATTTAACAACAACCTCTTCTGCCATCTCTTCTTAGCTTGAGATCTGGCTTTGTTGCCCCTCTGTGCCCCCATCCCTTGCTCCTATTTGCCCCTTCCCTCACTAGCTCACCTCACCCCAGAGTTAGATCTGCAGAGAGAGGATGGAGTGGGCTGCCCCAGTGCCCCAGGCTGGGGGACCCACATAGACAAACAGGCCTACCACGGGATCAGCAGTTGTTAGTGAGCCAGAGGTGAGGCAGCCCTGTGTGGAGAGGGAGAGAAGGGCAGTAGTATCCTTGAGCCTGAGGCAGAAAAGACTATTCCAAGGTTTCTTCAAGGGATAGAATGAAGCCACTGGATGGTGCTAATGGTTAACACGCTCAACTGCTGAAGGTTTCAGTCTACCCAGAGGCGTCTCAGAAGAAGGACCTGGTGAACTGTTTCTCAAATACCAGCCACTGAAAACGCTGCAGAGCACAGTTCCACTTTGACACACACAGGAGCTCCGTGAGTTGAAATGGACTCAATAGCAACTGATTTGGGGGGTCAGGGAGAAAATATTCCTTTCTGCCTCCCTCTGGCTGCCCCTGCCCCAGCCCCCTTGTCTTCCCCATGTGGCCCTTCCTTATCAGAAGAAATGAGCCTTACCAAGCTTCTTGAATACGCTGTTGTTATTAAGTGCCAACGAGTTGATTCCAACTCATAGTGACCCGGTATAGGGCTTCTGAGGAGCAACTGGTGGGTTTGAACCTCCCACCGGTGGTTAGCAGTCCACTGTTTATTCTGCAGCACCACATCAGAACTCCAAGATGTTCTAGGCTAAGCATTTTTTATTTTTAATGTTTTGTGAATTATGTGATAATTTACATGGGAGAACATCAGTTTGACATTCATCCTATTGTATATCATTTCATTGCCATGGTTACAATCCCCTCCATGCATCATCAACCAACCAAAGGGTATACACTACAAGCCTGCCCCGCGGTCATCAGCACACAGTCCCTCTCCCTCTCTGGGTCTAAAGTCCCTAGCTGCTCCATCTCTCCACGTCATCGTCTCAGCCTCCATCTCAGGGATCACTGCTTCTCTGGGTAGGATCCCGCTCTCCGCTTTTCTCCATTGATGGTCCCAGGGACCTCCACTCCTAGACTGAAAAGTTAATCATTCTCCTCCTTGCTATAAAATGTCTACCTTTACATTTCCAACCTTCACAATCAGTCCTGACAACATTTATTCAC